CTGCCTCGATAGGAACGTCTGACGGTGTCGCACTAGTGGATAAAGCCGGTCCATGCGACTCAGATGTTGAGAGCCCAAAATCAAGAAGTTGCTCCAAAGACTCGATATCAGCAGGCATAGGGACAGCTGGGCTTGTACTACTATGAGAGGAGAGAGGAGAGGTAGGGTCCAGGTCATCGGTGAACAGGCCAAAGGGGTCGTTACCGACAACAGGAATGCACCCTGGTATTTCAAAATGCCCCAGCGCGATCTTGCCTAGAATATGTGGGAAGATCCACGGGAAGCTGATAAGAGGCAGCTGGTTTATTTTGGGCTTTGGCTTATGGAAGAATTTGTTGTCTGTCGTTGAGTTTTCAGCACGGTATTTGTTAAGCGCATCAGTCATCTCCTCGTGGGTGACGCGGTACATAGCGAGGGCTAGAGGAGCTAGCTGATCAAAATTGTGGCCACCGATTTTTTCGTAGCATTGTTTTTTGAACGTCTCGCGGAGTGTAGTGGAAATTGCACCGATCTCCTCATGAAATTTGTAGTCCTTGCTTGCGTTGGCGTGGCCGAGGACAAATGTAGACCAGATTTCGAACTCCGTTTTTATCTCGTGTTGTGCCATAATTCGGCGCATTGTGTCATCATATTGTCCCTTGAGATTCTTCGCGAATGTAAGTAGGTCGTCAGGGACTTCTATCTCGCTGTTGAGGAGTCGCTTGTCAAATGGCATCTCGAGGCTAGGAATGAAGTCAATTCGCTCAACAGCGTCATAAAGCTGGCCCAGGATTTTGTTCGAGTGATAGATCCTGTCTTTGGGCTTGTTAAATTTCTCCATGAAGTGTGGCCACTTCCGAGGCTCAAGGTTGCGTGTCAATATGGCCGGAATGCCTGTCTTGTTGTAATCGACTGCATCGGAATGCAGCTGGGCTAGCCGGATGCACTTCTCTTCGATAACACCATCTTCAAGGAAGTCAGCCAAGGCAAGATGGGCATGGGCAATCCTAGGAAGAAAGTCATTCTTAATGTACGTGACAAAGAAAGAGGTTATGTCGTTGACCGTCACATCCCTATTAAGATCCTGAGCTTTGTTGCTAGTATACTTCATAGGCTCACGAAACCAGTCCTTGGGCAAGAGGTCCTGATCCCAGATGACGATGTAATCATCGCCATCCAAATCTCCACCTGAGCACATGCTCGATATGTCACGATCGCCCGTCTGCGGCAAGACAACCACGTCTTGAAGATGGCGCAACTGGGGCACATTGACTGCTCTCACGACCCGGATGTCACCTGGGTGGAGGGAAGGGTTACGAGCTAGTATGCAGACTCCTTCGATTACCTCGGGCTTTTTGCCGGCCCCCGGGCGAGATATTTGGACGAAGATTTCAGGTAGGGCAGCAGTCTTTTCTTCGATCGAGGCATCGTGCCCCGGGACCTTATCTTGAAAGTACCCCTGGAGAACTCCTGTTTCATCCATGCAGCCCAAAAGACATGCTCCTTGGTCGATAGCAATCCTGGCCTTTTCCTTTAAGTATTTAAGATGCCATGCCCTCCACAGTGCCAGAACTGATGTCAAGAAAGGCTCTTTCGATTTCCTGAAGCCATCGAGGACCATTTGACTGATTAAGAGGGTCGTCTGATTTGGGTCTACGTATTTTCTGAGCCAGTAGATAGCCTGTGGATCGCTTTCTAATGCCTCATTGAGTCCTCGCAGCATGGTGTGGAGTTTCGCATGGAATACTTGGTCTGGAATACCTAGAGTTGACAACACGATGATGAGCTGTCGATTCAGTGTAGCCATGGAGAATTGAGACCAACGGACGATTTCCAATCCGTTGTGAATAGCCGAAAATTTGAACTGGCTTTTTCGAATATGTACTTCCTGGCGCTGGGCCTCGGAGGAGACAGTGAGCATTCCCTTACAGCCGCCCAGACGGAACTGAAATGCAGAGGGAGGCTCTCCTGTTGGCGTTTTTATCTTAAGTTCCGACATAGACATTTGGGCAAGAAACCGCGAGATTCTCCCGACACCATCGGAGAAGTTATAGTCGTTCCGTTCGACGTCCTCGATCTTAACCACGTCCACAGGGCAACCAGCAATAGCCCGAGTGGTCGAGAAGCATTGTCCCAACCTTGCAGCATGTTTAGCAACATTACGTATGCTGTTGAAGTGTCCCATCCATGCACGGATATTGGCAGCTGTCAGGTTTGGTAAGGGAGCGAAGAAGTAGGCGCCATGCTCACGAAATTGGGAATTCCCAAACGCGAGGAATTCGTAGCGTCTATCGCCAATCACAATGCCATTGGTCAATGCTCTCTTGATGCGAGTAAATATTTCATCCATTGTACTGTCAGTCGTGGAATTAATCCGACCTAGCAGCTTCTCGTCTGTAAATCGTACTCGAAGGAAGCGATCTGCATGTTCGATAAAGTGTCTGATGACACGGTTGGAGATGTCCACTGTTGGAGTGTTGTAATAGATGGTGCTTGGTGTGATTCTGGCTGAATGCATATAACAGCAGTAGGGGGGGATCTTCGCTTGAGTCACTCCTTTGATGAACTTCAGGTCGAAGATCTTCATCGGGTCATAATACACCTGCTTCTTCGCGGAAACATGTTCCAAGAGCTTCACCGCTTGCGTCTCTCCAAGTTCAGACAGTTTGACAGCAAATTCGCGATTCATCGTGAACTCGGAAAGATACCCGTTCGAAATACACACCTCAAGTTGATATCGGACCTGGAAAGGCAAATGAACAAAGTTATGGTCGAAGAGATCCTCCAACGAACATGTCTTCTTTGGGGGTTGGGAGTCAGACAAATCTATCCACTTCCAAATTGGCGGATTCATCTCCACGTTCGCGTCCCACTGGGTAAACCGATCTGTGTCTTGAAAGATGATGTTGTAGTCTTTGAGAATATTGCACATAAGTGTCAGCTTCCCCTGTATATCAGCATCTCTAGGATACGTTATCTTGAAAGTATTCCAACGACCTATGAGATTGTTCAACCCTCGTCCTAAGTAGCGGTAGTAAGGATAGACACTCACCTATGTCTATCACAGCCTTTGCCTTTTTCAGGCCGATGGGAAGGGAAGATAACTCCAATGCATTGCGGACGATATATGTCTGTCGGTACCAAGTTTCCGACTCCCTCCATGTATTGCTTTCTTCTGAATGAGTTACATCAATATTATTGATGCGGCGATGATAGAGCGGGGGTGAGCCTAGCACTGTGAAATGCGATATATTCCCTGTTACAGTATCCCGCATCTGAAAGATCTGACTGAGTTGAACGAAGGGGATCTTCAGGCGATATTCCTGGAAAACACCGCAGGCTGGAGTGGGCTTATATCCTGGGGTGAAGATGGGAAGTTGGAAGTAAACGAGCAGAGCTTTCTGCTTCAGGTTAAGCACTAGTATGGCGCGCTCATTATCGCCAGAGCCGACAGAACGCATTGGAAGCATTGTTGTCTCATTGAACAGTACACCGATATCCATAGACACGATCGGTATTTTCTACATGAAAAGTCAGAACCCCGAAAAGTAGATTCACGGAGGAATACACTTTACGATTTCAACTGGGTATGAGACGCCAGAACGGACCGGACTGGCGATCTGGGGTTCTTCACGGTTCAAGTCAAGTGCAATGTTGATGACTGACGCTCGACCGTTGGGAAGCTTGATGGTATACAACCCCTTCCTCCAGAAGTCTGTTTTAGGAGGTGGTCTGTCGAGACGTGAGAACAATTAGTAGCTGTACAGTGAGAGTTCAGTGAACCTTACCTGAAGCGGATTTTCCCTCTAGAATCTCTGTTACCATGTGAGTCCTCGAATAGATCAATAGAAGAGACATAGCCCTCGTTGGAGAATGTTTGCCAAAGAATACGTGTGTTGACTTCCTTCGGGAGGTTTAACAGGTTCACGGCCACAGTATCCCAGAATGTCCATGGGGCCAGCAACAACTGGGCTGGCTGTTGTTGTAGCCGGGATGAGTTCTGAGGTTGACGTAAGGTGCCTTGACCGGGGCGGCCAACGTCTCTCGAGCGATTACCACGACGATTATACGACATGGTGTTTAATGATCGCAATGACTGACGGTTGAAAGCAGAAGATGAGGCGGAAGAGGATGAAAGAGAAGGAGAATGTGAATGTGAATGGAAGAAATGCTCAGTTGTGTTGTGGTGAAGGCCGCGCTCACTAGTAGGGAGCGGACGATGGGGACTGGCACCAGCCTGGTGTGTTGCCATGGAAGACCTTCTGTTTTCACTGGCCGTACTAGAACTGGAGGAAGTGTGAGAGGAAGAAGTCGCTGTTGAAGACCGCTTGTGGTGCTTCTTTCCTTTTCTAGATCTTTGCTTCCTAGATCGTCTCCCATATTCACGTTCACTCAACTGAGGTTCGTCAGCTGTTTCTCGCATATCTGCAATTTTTGTTGCTGCCAGTGGTTAGTATCCCCGTAATAGTTCCTTCCCCAGGTAAGTTTACTTCATCTATGTAGAAGGAAAGTGCAGATCTTATGAGCTAAAGAAACTCACTATTATGGTCAATGAAATCCAAAGAAACAGGGAAAGAAAAAGAAAAACACATCCCATCCACGCAGCAAACAAAGACCCCCTACATCTTTAAATAACTCTACTCATTGTTGTGCCATGATACCGCAGCCATCCTAAGTGGGAGCTGACGTAGCCCAAAAAACCCTTAGAGGGGCCAGGAGGCTTTGAACTTTTGACCTGTCGACTTCCAAGCTGCCAGTAGAGCTCGGTACGTTTGCAAGTTGAATGACAGACTGGATTAAATTAACCTTAACAATTTTGGTGGGATATCATAAGACGAGGAACTTCTCCAATTGCTATCTCAATCATGTTGTGGTAGATGTGATCTTTGTAGACACTAGCGACCTGTAATTACTATCTTAATTTATATACATAACAAAGTACCCCAAAAAACAGACGAACCATGCCAATGTTAGTGTATCATTATTCATCAAGACTCCACCCGAAGGTGGACCCATCAGCATCAGGTCTTGGGCCGAGGGTTATGCTCATCAGTGGCCTGAGAAAGAGAAGTACTGGTGAAAAGGAAATCCTTCGAAAATTCCAGATCCATATCCAGGTTTACATCCTGGAGATGGTTCTCGTTAGTGTCACCGTATGATTGAGTGCCTTTGAAAGATCTTCGTCGGTTTGAGTTGGAGTTGTTGCTTTCTTGAGAGCTGGGTTGGCTATTCTGATTTGTGTCTCCTAGCACAACTCGGTCACGCGATTGCCTAGTACCACCACTCCGGTAAACTGAATGTCTCGACTTCTTTTCTGTATTGTCTTGAGACTCTGCAGGTAACTCGGCCATAGGGAAAGCGGTAATTCTAGATCTCTTCGGACTACGCCCGCCAAAATGGGACGTATCGGTCTCAAAAGACTGGACAAGAATGTTATCAGCTTGTGGCTGTGAGTATTCAGCCTCGGGGCGCGTTTGTTGTTGTGTCACTGCCGTTTGTGACGGTCCCAGGGTGGTTCTGGACCGCGATTGTTTGTCTGAGCTTGCTGTATCTCCAGTGTCGGGTTTCCAGCCCATCACTGCCATCAGTCGAGTGATATGTTGCTGGGCCTCTGAAAATTCACGTGCTTTGGCTGCTCGCTCATCTCGTAGATGTTGCACCTATATCAGAACTAGAGTTAACTGAAGGAGCAAAAGCAGTAAAGAAAAAACCGATCAAAGCCCAAGAGGTGTCCTTCTCCATACCTTCTTTTCCAAGTACTGTATTCTCTTCTCTTTTGTTTGCAGCTCCTTAGTGGCAGCAGAGGCAGCAGTCTGTATGGTAGCCTGTAACGATGCGATCTCTTCTTTTTGTTTCGTGTCCTACGTGGCAAGTCAGAACAGTTTTCGAGGTCTAACTGTAATCTGAACGCCTTACCTCTGCAGCACTGGCGGACAATTGCGCCTCGAACTGCTCCCTGACAGTAGCCAACTCTGTCTTGAAACTCAGTTCAGCTTCACAAAGGGCGGATTTGATATTGTCGGATTCCGAAACCTCTTCGTTTAACTATAGACCAGGTTCAGCAGTTTTTCAATAGATCCAGGTGGCTTCAAGGTGTCCTACCTTGCTTTGTAAGGTTCCCATCATGGTCTCTATATCTTCCTTGGCAGCCTGCAGTCGAGCGACTTCCTCAACCTTTCCCGTTAACAGTAGCCGATTTTCCTCTACGCATTCACGAAGCTTCGCTACGTCTTGCTCCAAAATCGCATTTTGTTCAATAACGGCGTCTCTCTCTTTTGACCTAGCGTCCAGCATCTGCTGTAACTGACCGCTCTCTTCCCTCTGTTGATGGACGTCTTCCTGTAACTGTTCCAGCTGCTCCTCTTTCTCTGCCACAGAGGCAATCAAGTCCAGCTCTCTTGTTCTTGCATTTTCTCGGTCCTGGTTGGCAGTCTCTCGGGAGTCGCGCCGCTGATCCTCTAGCTCTCCTCGTGCCGCATCAAGGCTTACTGTCAACTCATCAATACGAGCAGATGCAGTTTCAGCATGAGTTGTGAGACAAGACAGGTTCTCCTGAAGCTCATTAATTGTCTTGGACGCTTGCTGCAACTGCAATTCCATCTCGTCATTGTGTCGTTTTAGTTCCTGTGCTTCGAGCGAGATCTTGTGTCGCTCTTCTTCGACGGCCCTTAAAGGAGCCTCGATACTGCCACAACGGCGTTCAAGGTCATGGCATATTTCCTCAACTTTTTGTATCATGCTGTCATGGGATGTGCGTGCGTTTAACATGAGAGTCTCTGATAACCCAGCTCTCCAATCATTTCTTGAAATAGGACGTCCATCGCGGATCGTCAAAGATGAGAGTGTTCCCCTAAGTTCAAGAGGTTTAATTTCGGAAAACGAACAGGTATTGTGGCAGGTGGGTTTTCTGGCTTTGAGCATAAATGCTCGAAAAGAATCGATGTGCGCCATGTGGGAAGCTTTTTGATCTGGGCTTCGTGAAAGCGAAGCCTGAAAATATAATGAGAATAGCTCGTAGAGCAATTCGTTCTCTGTCTCTGAAATGAATGTGTAGCATATGGCGGAGTTCTGGCACGATGGTAAGCAAGGGCGTCTTGGAAAGTCTTCGATTAGTTCATCGATGGATCCCTTAAGCCGTGTTAAAGTAGCTTCCGCTGCTGTAGAACTGAAGCCGTGTGAGACCGCATTTTGTAACCCGATTACAAGCGATTGTGCCACTTGGATAGTATCCACATTGGCAGCATTCGTGGAGCACCTCGGGCTTAATGCGGCAATCACATAATCCATGATCCTACATATCGCAGTCTGCCCCGGACAGAGCTTAAAGCAACTTAGTTTTGTTTTCAAAGGCGCATTGCTTCAACTTACCACATTCGCCTCTGCTAGACGTGAAATGTATTCTTGCGGCAGTGCTGCCAGTATACGTGTGCTGTTCTCCGACAAGAGCCAGTGCAAAGCGACTTCAGGCAATCCAGATGGTAAGGCGGCCGTTGGGAGGAGAGAAATTAAGAATGTTATACCCTACAAGGGTAGCTACACGTGAGCGGTCTTTGATAATCCCATTTTGTGTTTCGATACATACCAGCATTTGCACTTCAGGTTCAGTATTATCCCTCGTGACTTTCTCACAAAGCTTAGCAATCTTGGACGAGTTAGTCTGTATCCAAGTCTCTCGCTGACTTCCCTCCACAGTCGCACATATATCAATTCCTAGTCTAATACTTTCCGCGGCCTGATCGGCCATTAGACTTTGACAGCTCGTTGAGCAAGCAAGGATTACGCGCAGAACAACGAGATCTAACGTTTTCAGGCCACGTTTTGCGCCAAAGAAATGGTTAATGTTTTGTAACCAGCCAGGAACTTGCTGTGCGCTCTCATCACCTCTAGATAACTTCTGAGAAGATGCGACACGAGCAAAGGTAGCGAGACAAAGGAGGTTGCCCATATGATCATCCAGATTGCGCAGCGTTTTGGTGAGCTCTATTTGGAGGCTACACATGATCTCCGAGGGGATGCTATGGAGAACTCTCGGTGAGGTCTGCAAACCGGTCATGATCTTGTAAATGGGAAGGATCTTTTCCGCGCATGGGTTGTCTCCCGTTGTGATAATCAATTGCCTGAGGAAGGGCGCAAGTCGTGCGGGTGGGATAAAATCAGCCGGAAGAGGAGACGACAGGATTGCGGTGCATACGGGGATATACTACGCCAGTCAGCTTGTTGAAAGTGTAATATGCAAAAGTCCCATATGATTGATTGAGCATCAAATTTAAAGGGTTCAAACGCAGACTGACCTCGGTGCCATCATCTTCAATAACTTTCTTGAGAAATTGGTCCAGGATACATGGATAACGCTCCAGTAAGCTATCGCGAAAAGCAGCTAGTGATGCTACGAAGTATGAGCATACTTCTAGTAAATAAAACACATATGAGCCTCTTACTGAATGAGCTAATCAAATGTAAAGCGAAGCTGGAGCGAGACAGGCCGTCTACCAGAGCATCAACCAGAGCCCCAACCTGGCACGGCTTATGGAAAGCCCAAGAGCGGAGTGACACAGTAGGTGTATGTTGAACCAATTCATAGAGGTCCTGGAATAATTATTAGCTAATGTGACTAGGATTTACAAGTATAGAGGCTGAGGACCGGTGTACCTGGAGGGAGGGAGCATATGGAGCTGTAATGAGGCGCTCCACCTCGCGCCCAACAAGGTCGGCACTATCTTGCATTGTTTAAGCTATTTCCCCATGGGGCAGTTGTCAGTGGGTATCTCAATCTATTCTGGTCAACCACGAGGTCGTTTGTCTGATTCTGGAACACTCCGCCCTGCGTGTTAAGTGGAGAGAAGAAAAACGATGAATGTGTACGGGTGCCGTTGCCCCGCCAACTATCTAATCCGATATATTCCATCCATACATACATACATTACGGAGTAGACCAGGCGGTTAGAGAACTAGTGTAAATAAGTAAAGGGAGTTAAAATCAACAAGGGTAAAGCGTCACAGTACTACATAGTGCCTATTCAAGGACATGTGAAATCAGCTGTGGAAGCAGATAGTAACTCTTTGGTAGTCCGTACTTGTAGGGTCTTGAAGTCAGGATTTTGTATACAATATGCATTTTTATATGTCCATTAATTTTAATTGTGCGGGATTCTCATCATACCATCAAATTCTTTTCTCTAATCAAGTAGTATATGTATATATCTCGATATTTCAGACAAGTTCGCATGATAAGGACAGCTTCCTAGGTATGCACCTACATGTGGGGGTCCATTGGATCACTCTGTACGGAAGTGTGTGTTCCTAAACTGAGAGGACCAGGTGAGTAATTATCATGTGATTTATGGCCAATGGGAGTCACATATAGATGCCTTGGTGGCACTTAATTGGTTATATATCACGTGATGGTTATTAGCGTAGTTCGATCAGTTTAGGAACACACACCTCTGCGGGCACCTAGTACCTGCCAAGCATTCGAGTGTGGGATGAATTCCGCACTGTCGGACTTGAGTCCGAGAGTTTCAGGAACATGAAGGATGATAACCGAGTTAGCAATGGGTCTTTATAGGCCTCAGTCGTAAGTACAGGTTCTTTGTTTACTACCCCAACTCGGCCGATATCCGATCCTACTAGGTACTCCTCATTATTAGTGTCGATGGCGTATGAGCTTTACCAGAGCGGGCAGTCAGGTGCGCCGTATAAAGCTGTCGCAGTACCTCACCGAGACATAGCAAGGGAAATTGATTTTGAAAATTGGGCATCCTCTAGCTTTGTCTTATTACCATACCCGCGGTTGCTTTCAACTTCAATTCAGAGGCATGAGAGCACTTTCCCGCCTGCCACGGGGTTTCCCCGCAAATACCCACGTACTCCATCGCCGACCCACACTCCCACAGCCGGTAGTCTGTCAACGCTCGAGGGTCGCACGGTTGAATAGCTCAAGCTCGAGCGGCAATGATCGTGAAAAACGTGGGGATGATGCAAAACCCGAGCCTCCTACTGATTCATCAAATCCTTGGACCGCGAGTCGAACACTCCTTGTCTCTGCCCTGGCCGCCGGACTCAGCTACGCCTACGCAACCTTAAACAATAAGCCCCAACCGGAGAGTCTGAAGCAACCTCAGTATGGATCTACAGAAGATCTTAAGAAGGTGGGGGCATTCACAGATTTACTCTTCGATGTGTAAGCTGCGGTGTATAAAAGATGCATTTGGCTAATGATTCCTGTACCACTAGGCCATTGTCGAATTAAGAGCCAAGTTGGGCGATGAGGCTATTAGCACAGATGAGGATGACCTTCAGGTACACGGATTCTCAGAGTGGTCTAGTGTCAACGCGGACCGGTTCCCTGTTGCTATCGCGTATCCGAAGAGCACGGAGGACGTCGCGGAGATTGCCAAAATTTGTCACAAATACAAAATGCCAATGATTCCCTATTCGGGAGGTTCCAGTCTTGAGGCCAATTTCTCTGCTGTCCATGGTGGCCTAACGATTGATTTTGGCTCAATGAACAAAATACTGGAGCTTCACGAAGACGATATGGATGTGGTCGTCCAACCGTCCATCCAATGGATGGAGTTGAACGAAAAAATTAAGGACTCTGGCCTCTTCTTTCCTGTTGATCCCGGCCCTTCAGCGATGATCGGTGGAATGATTGGGACCAATTGCAGTGGGACCAATGCAGTGAGGTATGGTACAATGAAAGATTGGGTCATTAACCTTACAGTTGTTCTGGCAGATGGGCGCATCGTGAAGACGCGCAGACGTCCGCGCAAGACTTCTGCTGGCTACAACTTGACAGGCATGTTTGTAGGGTCTGAGGGAACGCTTGGTATAGTCACCGAGGCGACTCTCAAATTGACACCGATCCCAGAGGAAACTCGTGTCGGTGTCGTCACATTTCCTACAATGCGCGACGCTGCATCTACTGCCATGCTGCTCATACGAAAAGGTATCCCTGTACAGTGTATGGAAATTTTGGACGATGTTCAGATGGACGTTATTAACCGTGCTGGCGGTACGGGGCGAAGCTGGAAAACGCTACCCTCGTTATTTTTCAAGTTCTCTGGCACAAGCGCTGGTGTTCTCGATAGCGTTAACTTAACCAGAGATTTGGCGAAAAAGAACCATGCCGAATCCTTTGAATTTGCCCGAGATGAGCGGGAGGCGCACGATTTATGGTCGGCGCGAAAACAGTCGTTGTGGAGCATGCTAGCGTTAAAAGAGGAAGGCTCGCAAGTATGGTCTACTGATGTCTCTGTGCCGATTTCAAGACTTCCTGATATTATTGGTATGTTCTTGCGTAAGGAGGGCTTTCTTGCCGTATGCTAAAGACAACAGAAACCACGAAAAAGGAATTGGATGATCTTGGAATTTTCGCAAGTGTCCTCGGCCATATCGGTGACGGAAATTTCCACACGTGTATTCTCTACAATCGCAAGGACCCAAAGGAGGTAGAGCGTGTAGAGAAGTTTGTTTATGACATGGTTGATCGTGCTCTTGAGATGGAGGGTTCTTGCACTGTAACGTATCCCCTGCTTGATCCACGACGAATGCGTACGACTGACCCCAAAGTAGGGCGAACATGGTATTGGGCTGGGCAAGAAAAAGTCCCTTCAGAAAGAGCTTGGCCCAGAGACCATTGATGTTATGCGCAGCTTCAAAGTAGCTCTAGATCCGCATTGGCTCTTGAACCCCGGTAAGATTTTTGACTTTGAGGATGAACGGTGATCTATAGAAAATAGAAGTGCAAAGTTCCCAGGTAATCTTCATTGGAATAGAATACTCTATGGAGACATATGTACATAGGTACCTACCGTTGAGTACTACTTAGTAGTACCCGTGACCTGTATGGATAGACCTTGGACAAGAAAATAAAATGTAAATGGAAACCCCCGCCCTACAGAGTAAACATTGATTGGGGGGGATTTCATAGATTGTCTGTCCAATGGCAATGAAGAGAAAAATTTGTCTACTCTTCTTTAGGCCAGGGCGGGGGCTGACTCATCATATCGTGGCAAGTGACTAACTCCGAAGCGATATCGCAGTCATACCACAAGTATCCTTCTTTAAGCCCCTCTTTCATAGTTAAGCCGGTGAGTAATTCGTTTCCAATGGATATCAATGGTTGTTTGCCCAATTATTTGGAACTATTGAGGATCTCTATATCAATCTCTTGAAGTTCTCGGCTTATCAGTGGCGCTAGGTCGGCACTTTGACTCATCTGTTTTCGATCAAGATGGCATCATATCCTAAGAAGAAGTGCGGTACGAGGAATTAGCTCCTGTTTTGTTATGGTACATCATGTTGACGATAAATAGGTGTCCTCGGTGCCACAGGCTCTGTGGGCCAGAGGTTTATTCTCTTGCTCGCCGATCACCCTTTTCTAGAGCTTCATGCCATCGGTGCATCGGAGCGTTCTGCCGGCAAGGCCTACAAGGACGCCGTAAGATGGAAACAGACTGCGGCTATGTCTGAGAAGCTCAGCAACCTTGTTCTCCGGGATTGCAAAGCCTCTCAATTCGCCGACTGTGATCTTGTGTTCTCTGGTCTGAACAGCGATATCGCGGGTGAAGTTGGTATGTGGGATGCCCTTACTTGGAGGGGTTATTGCTAACCGTCATCTTTCTAGAAATGGAGTTCATCAAGGCTGAGATTCCCGTGTTTTCGAACGCAAAGAACTACCGCAAACACCCCTTGGTTCCCCTCGTTGTGCCAACAGTCAACCCTCATCACTTCGATTTGATCCCTCACCAAAGGAAAGAATTCGGCTTGAAGAAGGGCTTCCTCGTGTGCAACTCCAACTGCGCGGTCATTGGTATCGTCATCCCTTTCGCAGCTCTCCAGGCCAAATTTGGCCCTGTTGAAGAGGTCGAAGTGTTTACTGAGCAGGCCTTGTCGGGTGCTGGCTACCCCGGTGTACCCAGCATGGACATCCTGGACAACGTCATCCCTTTCATTAGCGGTGAAGAAGACAAGCTCGAGAATGAGGCTCAGAAGATCTTGGGTTCTGTTAATGCAGATGCCACCGCCTTCGAGGAGCAGGCTGGCCTTCGGGTTGGAGCTACTTGCACTCGGGTCCACGTTAGCGATGGTCATATGGCGTTTGTTTCGCTGAGATTTAAGAACCGTCCAGCACCGAGCGCCGAACAAGTCGTGCAGGCGCTGAGGGAATACCAGTCTGAAGCGCAGAAATTGGGAGCTCCTTCTGCCCCTACGGAGGCGATTAGGGTATTCGATGAGGCGGACAGGCCGCAACCAAGACTCGACAGAGACATCTGCGGCGGATACACTGTTAGCGTTGGCCGGGTGCGTGAAGGCGCCCAGGGAGGCTACTTCGACCTCCGCTTTGCTGCTCTCTCACACAATACGGTCATTGGAGCTGCTGGATCTTCGATCATCAATGCGGAGATTGCGGTTCTGAAGGGATACATCTGAGATAAAAAAAAATGAGTTTAGATTAGAGTACATAGGTAATTAGAAGGCATTCGATACCACTCTATGAAGGACGTAATCTATACTCCGCAGCAGATGATGCATGGTATCAATACTAAGTGCTAAGTTCCCCCCGTTCTCTGATTATGTAATCAGAGAGGGTGGAGCAAAACGAGCCGGCCTAGATCAGGACTAGCGTGGAACTGTACACCCTAGCCCTAATTGTCTTAATTAGGACAAGCACAAACTCCACTAAGCGAGTTTTCCTGGTGGACCGGATATCACTCGACAACTTTCGGCTTCGTCTGGTTTTTCTCCTTCGGACACTTCGACAACTAACCCGGTTCAAGTCGACAAAGCAGTCAAGATGCCTCGCGGACCGTGAGTATACCATTGCAATTTCTCATTGAGATTTCCGATGAACGCACCACTCCTGGAAAATCTACGTTTTGAAGGGGGGCGGATGGTCATCGTTGGATAGCAGAATCGAAAGAACGCGACACTGACAGCGATGTCTACAGTACCAAGCACCAGAAGCGCCTTAGTGCGCCTTCGCACTGGCTCCTGGACAAAATGTCCGGAACCTATGCTCCCAAGGCCTCCCCCGGTCCTCACAAGCTCCGCGACTGCCTTCCCCTCATCGTGTTCATCCGTAACCGTCTCAAGTACGCCCTGAACGGCCGTGAGGTTAAGGCCATCATGATGCAGCGTCTCATCCAGGTCGACGGCAAGGTCCGCACCGACCCTACCTTCCCCGCTGGTTTCATGGACGTCATCGGTATCGAGAAGACCGGCGAGAACTTCCGTCTTATCTACGACACCAAGGGCCGTTTCACCGTCCACCGTATCCAGGCTGAGGAGGCCGAATACAAGCTGTGCAAGGTCAAGCGTGTTCAGCTCGGCAAGGGCGGGATCCCATTCTTGGTTACGCACGATGCGAGAACGTGAGTGCATACTCTCCACAAGTTCCGCGTCCATCAGTCGTTGGACCAAGCTTTGGTTGATCGGCGGAGGACGAAAGAACTTCAAAATCAGAATGCGACTTGCTGGCGATCAGTAAGGATCGACTTGTAGAATTGTATATGCTAACAACTGTAATTACAGCATCCGCTACCCTGACCCTGCCATCAAGGTCAACGACACCGTGAAGGTTGACATTGCCACTGGCAAGATCACTGACTTCGCCCGCTTCGACACTGGTGTTGTCATCATGGTTACCGGTGGTCGTAACATGGGTCGTGTTGGTGTTGTCACTCACCGTGAGCGCCACGACGGAGGTTTCAACATCGTCCACGTCAAGGATGCTGTTGACAACACCTTCGCCACCCGTGAGACCAACGTCTTCGTCATTGGTCAGGAGAAGCCCTGGATCTCCCTCCCCAAGGGCAAGGGTGTCAAGGTATGTTTGCTATCCGTTCTATGTGTGTTGTATAATGTACGGTACTAACAAATCATACAGCTCACCATCGCTGAGGAGCGTGACCGCCGCCGTGCTGCTGCCATTGCCAACTAAATGTATCCTGGTAGGTGACATTAGACACTGCAGCAAAATCAAAAGACTTGAAAAATCCGCTCGAGACGACGTCTTGTCTTGCTTTGTGGGCCTGTATGATGCCGGTTATGATTCTATGATGCGTTTCTAGGAAGAAAAAAAGTTGTCTACAGGACGCATAATGGGGAGTTGGTAGTTTCCATTTCCATCTTCCGTAGGGTCAAGCCATAGCAAGCAAAACAGGGACTGACGTCTCTTTTGATATGATACCTCTTAATTAGTCTTGTTCTGAAATGACCTGACATTTGATACCCCTTTCAAGTATTCGCTCGAAGTAGATATCACCGTTCTTTGGCCCTCATTGTATGTTTTCATGATGTCGACCCTCCTGGTAATGGTTCGCACGGAATAGTCCGAATGGGACGGAAAGGCCCGTCGCGCACAACTCGATGTCTACGCCTTTTAGGTAACGGAATCTGGTTTGGTCGATCGCCACTATACCTCTCACATTAACATGATTCACACGTAAATCTTTCCAACTTAATCTCAAATCTGAGCGGGACTGATTAGATAAAAGAACGACATGTGAGCTGAGTGAACTCTCGTAGCACCAATGAGCGTCCGTCCATTACATCCACCGCGGTGGGTAGACTCACAAAGATACCTGGATCTGTACGAAAAAGGCACAAGTGGGAGTGGAACACGTCGAATTCTCTGCAGGATTCATACGGATTTTTCCTTCTCCGTCATGCACCGCTCCCGTTCTAGTTGTGCCCTAAGTGCCTTTCCAGAAGCGACACCTCCCATACCCTCCGTTGAGCCGGACCCTCGGCATTATCATAGCGACGTAAGCGCGCTGCCCAGAGAGAAGAATCCCGGCTAAAGCGCAAGCCTTATGCGGCGGTCTTGAACCTTGGTTCGGGTGCGTTGGATGGGGGTGACAAGTCATTGTCGGAGTCGATCTTACTTCAATTTGGCGTCCCGTTGTGATTGAAGGATCGAAAACCAATCATCAGGGGCCATCGCGGTCCGGGGAAATCGAGGCCCTTGAACAAAGTAGGAACAAATAGGAGAACTTTACTCATTCGGGCGAGAGGCAACTCTTTGAAGCTTGAATTTGGGGATTGAGTTTGAAATCTAGACGGGACTATCCAGATGGATACCCACAGGATGGACTTCCTATCTCGTCATTCCACGATGGGAACCAGCAGCGACCTTGCATTTTGTACCACTATCCCTGTTCCTAACTATAGAGTGCCTTCCCAAGAGTTCATCTATTCCCCTTTTCGGTGGTGACTCGCGGTCTGAGGTGGTCCGCATGCGGATGATCTCTTGCCATGTTGAGATGCGTGATCATGTACCGCGGGGCCGCTACAGGCATCGGGATATATATTCAATTCTATGCACGTCACAAGTGACGAGCCAATCTGCTTCATGATCAACAGTAGACGAGCTGCAATAGGGCTTACCCAAGGTTGTGTACAGAGGAGTGCAGGTTTTATTGTTCCTGTGTGGACCGTTCAGTTCAGGACCACAGCTATAATGAAAGGACCAGGGACTGTTAAAAAAGAAAACAAACATGTACAAGTAAAATTAAACTATTGTCTGAGGAAAAGAACGTCTTAGACCCAACGCCACACCTTCTTTGGAATGCAAATGTTATGTATGTATGTACTACGGCAAGCAAAGCAAGTCCGTTAACTGCCAACTGTTCTTCTGGCTCTTTGCTTTTTCCTCTTTTTATTTTTATTTTATTTTTATTTTTATTTATTTTCGACCTCAGGCATGTATTTCGCCAGATGCAAGTTCGTAATACCGGTGCAAGGAACGTGGCACTCGGTACTCAATCATTTCTTGGAGGGGGCGTCGAAAGAAGCGAACAGCTCACGAGATTCCTGCAGACCACTGACTCGGCTTTTCATCGTACGTATTACTCGTAGTAGATACTCACAACCACCTTTGTTTCTAGCAAAACCAAGCAGGAAAGAAACTGTTACACAGGCTTGGGGCAAATTGAATGCCAGCTTTCATTCTTCCTAACGGAGCGGGTCTTATTGCATTTACCTTCTCAGCTCTCCATGATGTCTGGGGCGTTCACCATTTCTCATCTGTGTGGTCGGTGAATTTCTACCTGTAGTTCGCCGTGGAGGGAGCCTTGGAGCGGTCCATGCAAGCCAACGCGCGCCATCCTTGATACCGAAAGATGATTGAGTCTCTCGTTTTCCTATTGACCTGGGGGATCTTAATAGGGACACACACACAAAGAACGCTGAAAATTAAAAATAGAGAGGAGCGCCATTCCAATGACGGCAATTGCCCATATACTCTGAGCGGGGGCTCCGATTTGCTTCTTCCACCACGCCAGGGGAACAGCATCTATCATGTCGACTTCCTCTAGCTCCGTGTACTCCGTCTGTACTGTGGAAGCCCATCGGCAAATGCGGACCAGGGATAACCAATCGGGGATTCTACTATTGGCCAGGGTTGAGTTCGGTTGATCACAGCGTACTGGACGCCGTTATTTTTCGTCGGCCGGCTACAGCCGCGAGGTCTTTTTTTCAATGTCTCCACCAAGAACTCCGTATAATAGTACAACATAGTAGTACTACGGAGTACGTACGTACCAGTACGGCTGCGATGCCCAATCATGAATCCTTTCGTGTACCATGCCATAACGGTCCGCTAGTTACACTTTAAAAATTTCCTCTTCTTCATTTCCCTCCTAGGAAGGTTAACGGCTCCGGGCGCGAGTGCAACAGAGAAGCTGCTGGCCTCATAGGTCGCGTGGTGTTGGAGACCCGAATCGGATCGTCGTTTACAAGCCCCCCCAAAACCCCCGGAGAATCGGCGATACGCTTCACGAGGCAGAGAAACATGGCCTCATGGGCAATGAATGAAAAAGAAAGAGACGAGCGACTAATTTAGTTACTGGATCAGGAGTGCCCGCTAGCGGTTTCCTAGTTCCACTGTGCTCCATAGACAGTTTCTAGCGTGTGCCCGCATGCAGGGTGCCATGGAGCTGAGAAGGGAGGGCGAGAGCGAGAGAAAAGTGGCGATCTGAATTACTAGTCGATCAGGGCCAATTCAAGGCAGGATGATGCTACACCCATCTATCACTACCGTTGTCATTAGAAGTATGACTAGTATGGGCCGTCTGTGTCTCGGGTTGCCTCAATAAAAACGCCAAATCCCGAGCTTTCCGTCCAGAAAGTTGACTTCACCGCTACAGTCACAGTCACTAGTTGCTCCGGCTTAACATTACATGTCGACTGAACGATTGAACCACATCCAGTGCGGGTGAATCTTCCAGAAAAGAATGGCTAATGCATCTTATTCGACCCAATGCAATGTTGCTGACCGCTTCTCTTCAACGCTATCCAATTGTTGAACGGATGGCCGCCGTTGGCTACTATTATTGCGCTCTCGTTACTATTACCCTTCTGAACTGGTCTAATTTACTGACGCTTCCAGTGTGATGGATGAATGGTGACTCTCTATCGCCCGTGTGGAG